GACCATAGTTACACACGATGCTGAGTCCGTATGGGAAATTCGGACATTTCGTGACACCACATCCAACATCCGTAGTGTCTTCCCAGACAAGCTGAAATGAATCAAGTGACAGTGAGCTATTGAATGGTGTATTGGAAGAGGATACATTCATACAAATCGTTCACTTAAATCAGCAACAGTGAAAGATCACAACGATGTGAAAAACTTGATTTGTTGGGCAGAGTGTAGACCATTCTAACATAGACAACAAACGTGTATATGACAATGGATAGTTGGTTACTACACGTAGCCATGTTAGACAGTTTCATGGATCGACCTCGAAATCACTAGTCCGTGTCTATACGACTTTGTCTGAAGTAGTTATTTTAACAAGAATGCTTTGTAATCGTTCTAATGCTTACCTGAGTATAATGACCACACTGACCCATACGACATGTTCTCGTGTAGAAGTCGTAATTCTTGTATTCACCCAACCATAATTGGAATCCGCTTGATAGAAATGAACAAACAATAGCAATCAATCGAAACATGAATCCGAACATTTGGAAAAATGAACAGTCAATTACAAGAGTATTATCACATGTTTAATTTAGGGGGGAGAAGAAGGATCTCACTGTACAGGTGTAGGTGTGCACATCGGTGAATATCACGAAGTAACCACACACTGATTGACTGTGGTGATGCCCAACGACTGTGAACACCTGATTAAGTAATATATGGTAAATGAGATATTTGACTATTAACAGTTTCCCGATTGCACACAGATGTGGGTGCATTTTCGACAAGCATGTGAATATCTGGGTGCGAGATCCAGCCTATCTCAACGCACTAACTACATCATTGCAATGTTTAGTTGAAGTGAATTTTCAATGAGTTGAACTGAGTGACATTGGTCTGTGGTCACACTCGTTACAATCAGTTCAAGATTCAGATGCAACCACTTGTTGAGTCTCACACTAATCACTTCTGTTCATCTCACAATCGTCCTCAATATTTCCTCACTCATCTATCATCGACAAACAGACCTTCCGAACCACATCGTCGAGCGTGGAGTGACAAGCGGCATGGTTCATAAATGTGTGTTCCTAAAAGTTTATGGTGTTTGGAGTGACGTTTCGTAGTTGTTTTGCATCGAGTATGCGTTCACAGATTGGTTAAAAAGCAACAGTCTGAAAAGAAGTAGGTGTGCATTTGATGACGCGGTGTATGTCGATTAGATCGATATAACACTTCTGCGAATGCAGACCACATGCTTGCAAGTCTACGAGTTGAACAAATTCATATATTTAACACAATGCACATGACACTTACGTGTTTATGTCTCTGGCACCGGCCCAATTCTGTCCAACATATTGGAATTTCGGTATTTTACGATCAGCATTTGTATCATGTCCAACACGACATTGATCAGACAGGATTTGTGCTTTCTTTTCCAATTCCACATTCCATTTCTGCAAACATGTGGTTAATTAATGAGCAAATCGAACGGTTAATTAATCAATTGATAATGTAATTATTGCTTTATTTACTTAAAATCAATGAAGCGAATGAAGTGGTATCGAATGCCACTCGTTGTCATCAGTGCCGTCACGTTGACGTGATATAATCAGTAGATTTTCATTTTTTCCACTAGTTAGTCAGAAACTGCAAAACATTGTCCATCTCTTATGAATTCACACGAACCATGTGAACGAAGTTCATTCGCCTATACGCACCATTCTCACCAAACTACACATCACTAACCACACTCACTCAAAACAAACAAATGCACAGTTGAGAACACTGTCTACAACCACACAATGAACTAAACCTGTGAGCTATCTACTCTACAACACATTACACCAATAACCTCATTTGAGTGGCCAAGAAACTGCTACATGCAGTCAGCCACAACCAACCAACCTACCAATCAACCAAACAACTTCTCCCTCCCTCCTTCTCTCTCTCTCATCATCACACTATGTCCACAATGAGACCAACTGAAACGTACACTGAAATCAATTTGTCTCAATCAAAACATAATTGTGCTGAACAATCAAGTTAAACAATCACTCTTCTTACCAGTGGTTTTATGGAGACTGCTATCGGTTGCCCAACAAGCTGACCATTTTGAACAGATTGTCTTGCCTTATTGTGTAGAGTTAACAACTCATTCCTCATCGTATCATTCAACTGCGCATGAACACAGCAACATACAAGTGAACACAGCAACAACACGACTGATGAAAACTCGGAATTGGAAGACATTTCGATGAGACCAAAATTTCACAGTCTGTCTGGCTTACGAACAATCACTTGTTGGCTTTCACATATATATACACCCACCATGAGATCAGGTTCATCAACATGAGTCATGGTGACTAAACTAACTACTCAGAAGTGTCAATTTGTCTTATGAATATAGGATTATATTTGTGCAGAATAATAATCAGTCGGGTAATCAGTTTTGAATGAGTAGGGCTAAAGGGTGGTGTCTACACAAGTCGGTGGTATTGAGAATTTTTTGATTGAAGTTTACTCACAGCGTTTTTACACTGTGAGTGGAAATGACCAGCGGTTTGTGGGATTATGATTCACGAGTGACTCATGCTTCTGGAACAAATACAACAGTGTCTGATAATTCCATGAAATTGTAACCAGATTTTGCTATATTGTAATTAAGGCTGCATAACGTGTGAGACGAGCGTTTGTTTGGAGTGACGTGTTCTGTCGCTTAAAGTCGATATCAGGTGATAACATGTGCAGTTTGCGTTGATGACTGCTGACTGACTCGTCTAGTTTGATGCATGGATTGTGATACGATTTGACAGCCTCACTAACCACCTTTCTCTCAGTGATGTCGATCGAATGAGATGTGTTGAAGTGAATTGGTGTCCTTGTGGATGAACGGAGAGTGAAATCAATCAACACGATTGCATGTGAACATGAGATCGTCCCCATGCATATGGTGATTGTGGGAATGAGTTGTGATTCAACTTCCATTTTTTTGTGTTCGATTCACATGTTATAAATTTCCGATGAGATGTGGCATCGGAATTCGATGATGATTTCCACTGAATATGTGTTGATTGCAGTACGTGTTGCAGATATTGCTTTCTCACATTGTGCGTGTTAAGGGATTGCAAACCGAAGATATGAATCAGTGATGTTGAAGTGATTTTCCGTCACATCTCATGACCTTGTTTAATCGATAATTTAACATTCAACAGCTTATTCTACTAATGACCAAATTTTAATGAATCTGTACTTGTGTTTGGCTGCTGGAGTCCATGCGGCTACTGAATTTACTGAAAACCATCTAATTATTAAGCTTCCGAACTTGATCAACTTTTGTTGATCGGCTCAATTGTGATGACACAGACGGTTGTTGCAGTGAAGGTAGAAGTTTAGGACAATTTTTCATGGAACCCTCATCGAAATGAACTGTTAGCGAGAAACAAAATGTAGAACAATCGTTTGTTGAATTATTGCTTCAGCAAAACTTGAAACGTTGGAATTATTATTATGTTATGAACTATTATATACTTAGAAATATCATACATTCAAAATTATATTACAGTTTTCCAATGGATACAGAATGTAACTTGTTTTCCGTCATGATCAGTGAGCAATAACAAGAGAACAAGTGCACATATACTGAGTAGCCGTGATTTGTAGATTACAAAGAACGAATTATGTTAACCAGTGTTTAATAATGTATATATCAATTATATGTACAACAAATAAACATAAGTAGAAGCATTCACACGCACGATACTGAATGAATGTAAATCAGGAAATTAGGAATTCTTTCCGTTTCCATTCTTGAACTAAATCAAGTTCTAATAGATTTCGAGGTACTGCATCAACTATCGGTATACTCGTACCGTGACTAAGAAAAATAAATGCCGTCCACCAGTGCATATCACACTGGTATACACCCAACGATATGCTACAATTATTCAGTTCATTTCAGTTCATTTCAGTTCAGCCCAGTCAGACAGACAGCACATAACAGCACACTATCCATCTCAGACACGTGTTAGCTTATATACACGAATTATCAGATGCTTTTTCTGTGACCACCTTAGTAAAATCTTATTACCACCATAAAGTATACGTGAATGGATGATAAATCAGCGAGCTTATTTTCAAAAGAATTCATCTTATATTTCCATATTGTTGGAACTTTAATTAAGGCAAAGTTACGTGGAGCAACTGACTTCAAAATCTATCTCCGATGTTATTACAGACTATAACTGTAGTATAAATGATCAACTTAGTTATCATAACATTTATTCATCAATCCACTTCCTCCACTTTCATACTGATATGACGGGATGAAAAGACAAAATTACATTCTCATCTCATTGACATTCCTCTTCAACATTACTTCTGTTTCAATTCAATGTGATTAATATTCAGCGTAATGTTTGGTTGATTTCTGATGTGATTTTTCACTCAGCATCAAGTTGATTTATTCAGTATGATGTTGATTCAAGTCATGGTATACATCGAACTGAATCAAAGAGAACCATGTTCAGCATGTCATGCAACATTCAATTTTATTATAAATTCATCAATATGAAATTTTTATAACTAAAAATAAAATTTGTGTGAAAGTCATTAGACATATGAAGGAGTGCATATTAGACAACGGTCGTCTAGCGTGTTTTGTAGTGGAGAGATAATCGAGTGTACAAGTATATGTGACCTTACTTCGCGTCACTAAAATAATAGTTGCATAAAAGTAAATTTCAACAAACATTTTCCTAATACAACCGTCTTGTGTAGACACCACCCTTTAGCCCTACTCATTCAAAACTGATTACCCGACTGATTATTATTCTGCACAAATATAATCCTATATTCATAAGACAAATTGACACTTCTGAGTAGTTAGTTTAGTCACCATGACTCATGTTGATGAACCTGATCTCATGGTGGGTGTATATATATGTGAAAGCCAACAAGTGATTGTTCGTAAGCCAGACAGACTGTGAAATTTTGGTCTCATCGAAATGTCTTCCAATTCCGAGTTTTCATCAGTCGTGTTGTTGCTGTGTTCACTTGTATGTTGCTGTGTTCATGCGCAGTTGAATGATACGATGAGGAATGAGTTGTTAACTCTACACAATAAGGCAAGACAATCTGTTCAAAATGGTCAGCTTATTGGGCAACCGATAGCAGTCTCCATGAAACCACTGGTAAGAAGAGTGATTGTTTAACTTGATTGTTCAGCACAATTATGTTTTGATTGAGACAAATTGATTTCAGTGTACGTTTCAGTTGGTCTCATTGTGGACATAGTGTGATGATGAGAGAGAGAGAAGGAGGGAGGGAGAAGTTGTTTGGTTGATTGGTAGGTTGGTTGGTTGTGGCTGACTGCATGTAGCAGTTTCTTGGCCACTCAAATGAGGTTATTGGTGTAATGTGTTGTAGAGTAGATAGCTCACAGGTTTAGTTCATTGTGTGGTTGTAGACAGTGTTCTCAACTGTGCATTTGTTTGTTTTGAGTGAGTGTGGTTAGTGATGTGTAGTTTGGTGAGAATGGTGCGTATAGGCGAATGAACTTCGTTCACATGGTTCGTGTGAATTCATAAGAGATGGACAATGTTTTGCAGTTTCTGACTAACTAGTGGAAAAAATGAAAATCTACTGATTATATCACGTCAACGTGACGGCACTGATGACAACGAGTGGCATTCGATACCACTTCATTCGCTTCATTGATTTTAAGTAAATAAAGCAATAATTACATTATCAATTGATTAATTAACCGTTCGATTTGCTCATTAATTAACCACATGTTTGCAGAAATGGAATGTGGAATTGGAAAAGAAAGCACAAATCCTGTCTGATCAATGTCGTGTTGGACATGATACAAATGCTGATCGTAAAATACCGAAATTCCAATATGTTGGACAGAATTGGGCCGGTGCCAGAGACATAAACACGTAAGTGTCATGTGCATTGTGTTAAATATATGAATTTGTTCAACTCGTAGACTTGCAAGCATGTGGTCTGCATTCGCAGAAGTGTTATATCGATCTAATCGACATACACCGCGTCATCAAATGCACACCTACTTCTTTCCAGACTGTTGCTTTTTAACCAATCTGTGAACGCATACTCGATGCAAAACAACTACGAAACGTCACTCCAAACACCATAAACTTTTAGGAACACACATTTATGAACCATGCCGCTTGTCACTCCACGCTCGACGATGTGGTTCGGAAGGTCTGTTTGTCGATGATAGATGAGTGAGGAAATATTGAGGACGATTGTGAGATGAACAGAAGTGATTAGTGTGAGACTCAACAAGTGGTTGCATCTGAATCTTGAACTGATTGTAACGAGTGTGACCACAGACCAATGTCACTCAGTTCAACTCATTGAAAATTCACTTCAACTAAACATTGCAATGATGTAGTTAGTGCGTTGAGATAGGCTGGATCTCGCACCCAGATATTCACATGCTTGTCGAAAATGCACCCACATCTGTGTGCAATCGGGAAACTGTTAATAGTCAAATATCTCATTTACCATATATTACTTAATCAGGTGTTCACAGTCGTTGGGCATCACCACAGTCAATCAGTGTGTGGTTACTTCGTGATATTCACCGATGTGCACACCTACACCTGTACAGTGAGATCCTTCTTCTCCCCCCTCAATTAAACATGTGATAATACTCTTGTAATTGACTGTTCATTTTTCCAAATGTTCGGATTCATGTTTCGATTGATTGCTATTGTTTGTTCATTTCTATCAAGCGGATTCCAATTATGGTTGGGTGAATACAAGAATTACGACTTCTACACGAGAACATGTCGTATGGGTCAGTGTGGTCATTATACTCAGGTAAGCATTCGAACGATTACAAAGCATTCTTGTTAAAATAACTACTTCAGACAAAGTCGTATAGACACGGACTAGTGATTTCGAGGTCGATCCATGAAACTGTCTAACATGGCTACGTATAGTAACCAACTATCCATTGTCATATACACGTTTGTTGTCTATGTTAGAATGGTCTACACTCTGCCCAACAAATCAAGTTTTTCACATCGTTGTGATCTTTCACTGTTGCTGATTTAAGTGAACGATTTGTATGAATGTATCCTCTTCCAATACACCATTCAATAGCTCACTGTCACTTGATTCATTTCAGCTTGTCTGGGAAGACACTACGGATGTTGGATGTGGTGTCACGAAATGTCCGAATTTCCCATACGGACTCAGCATCGTGTGTAACTATGGTCCTGGGTAAGTCATTAACAAGATCATTCTCATTTAATTAAATGATTTGTGACCTGCTCTTCCCATTATGACTCCCTTCTGCATACTTTCTTCATGATCGGATGTTGTTTGTAGTGGCGTTCAATTTGGCTGTTGTTTACCAATATTACTTGTACGCTCTATTTCTATTCATCCGCTCAAACTCTCGTTGCTACCTAAATAAACACTTGCTATCCTGAAAATTATTGCCTGGCATTTTTAACTCCGTGACAACTAACGCCTACTTTTGTCACGATCATCATAGATCACTGTTGAATGTGTAAACCAACGTAAATCACATTTCATGTGTTGTAGTTACGTTTGCCATGTAACCGAATATTAACGGAATCGAGGATGAATCGGTGGTCATCAACAATGTACTCATTGTGATCTAAGCCAACTCTTTTGAATATGAATTTCATTATATTTTACAAACACTTGAATTCGCATGAATATCAGAATTGATTTTTCATTACTAGTATTAAACAGACTTTGACATGATGAATATCTCCTTTCAAATTTCTACGCGTAATCTGACTACTGATATCCACAAGTAGTTTCATCAATATCATCAACATTGGTTGATTTTCATTGTAACGAGTGTGAATACGTGTCGATGTTCCAACTTCAATGATAATACTAAATGAACATGAGAAAATCACTGATGAACTTTGTCTCACCGACTTAATGAACTTACTAACGTCTCATCTTTCTTACCCGATTTCAGCGGCAATTACGTTGGACGCTCACCGTACAGAACAGCATGAGGAATTGTTGGCTTCCGAAATCCATCATTTTTGCAACTGTCTTTTTTACATTTCACATACCATATCATATCACTACTGTACACCGGTAAAAATCTCCTAATTTGTATATTTGTATTGAAGTGAAATTATCTTTTCGAAATAACAATCCTTCAAATGTCAGGTTAAGTCTTGATGTCTTTTGATTTCCGCGTTTTATTCCTGTGTGACTGGGGTGTCCGTTGAGGAATGGGATATTGCAATAATTAATTCGTTGCCAGTCGTGTGTCAGCTTACTACCGACAACGGTTTCTGTCTACACACTAGTCAGTAGCATGACTTGCTTTCGCACATAGAGGCTTTACTCCTGCATACTGCAATTCTAGAGTATAATAACTTCTCTATCACTACAAAAGGATGAATTTACAAAACACGCGTAACTCAAATAGATTAAATTAGCTTCTGAATTTTCATTTGTTTGACGGAAATAGTGATCAATGTCATGTGTGTCAGATCCCACCCATCGATTCCCTCAAGATGACAAGTACACCTTGCTAACGAGTGCCAAATAGCACGAAACCTAGATCCAGGATTTCCTGTAGACTACCTCCAATCACCATCTCATCTCAATATAGTGCACGCAATGTCGAGTCACTTAGACTAGTGACCACAAGGCGACGTGGTCGATAGAACTCGATCCGAACTAAGAAGGGCCTGACACACATGACATCGGCCACCACTCGGTGATCAGTCGATTGTGGATACATAAAGTATTTGTTAACTATCAGCATTTGGAAGTATCCGAGTTATGCTTCGACACCACTCATTATGTCGAAGGCAGTAGTGCGGAATCATGAATCCAGAGGTCGCGTTCCACCACAAAATGATATCGAACGGAGAAATATCGAAAGAAATAGGATACTTAAGAGGCGATTTCCTTTCCGATTCGAAATCCTGCTTTTTTACATTTACACCCCACAAACAGACCTAACTCGTCTCACCATGATATTTTGAAATATCGATGGTCGATATTTCGTTCGTGTTGTAAGTCACTATGTTCGAATTCTCAGTACATAGAGAGTTTGCCTTATCGTTGTGTTGTGAAACAGTTTCGCTGATCTCTCGTTAGTAATGAAAACACTTCTAGTCTATCATTATGTGTCCTCCTCAGCATAAGCGACATAACTCACACATTATCTATGCCTTATATACACTTCTATCTCCATTCTATTCAATGCATTCATAAATAAACAACACTCGGTGATCAATAAGACAATACTCTACGATTCATACACTAAAAATAGACTGTACAATATATTTGGGCATACCACACCGCCGTACTGGATTTGAGATAATTTTTTCAGCAGTCTAGATCACTTTCGACATAGACAATCCAGATAATAGAAATAACAGTTTATTCACACACAGTGGACGCAGAGTGGAAATCAGTGAATAGCAGAAATGAATTCACAATGTTTCATTGTGCATAATACGTTTAACAAGGCTGATCATCTATCTCCGTCTTAATTAAACATCACAAGTGGAGCATGTGATACAGTGGAGCGTTTGTATGCAAGCATGGAATTCAGTGTTTGCAGATGATCTGGCTCGTAGTTCCCATACACACCCACAAATACTGGTCAAGTCAACCAGTTTGGCAGTAGACTCTGCATCAGTAGACCTCAACGTTCTCAAGCGTGAAAACAAGATTCTTAAATACAACACTGAAGATGCTAACACAATCACACTTGATGGAGGCTATTTGGAAGTATTGTAAAGTTTTATGTCCTTGGGGTCCGCGATTGATAGACAAGAAGTATCTTGTGACTGTGTGAATGCACCAATTAGCATAGCATGGGACAAAAATTTTTCAATTAAAAAACACATGGAATTCAGAACAACTGTCAGTCGTCGTCAAAATTCAAAATCTTTTATAACAACGTCGAGACAGGAAGACCAAATGACACACTCCGACAGGACCTTGAAGCAGACGGCAAAAGGATCAATAGTAACAGCTCAGAACAGAGTTGGATGTGAGGTGCTGATGGGAGGTCTATGCTACTCCGCTAGATTTAACAGACATAAGTAAGTAACGACTAGAGAATTCCTAACGGAAACGTAGATCAGGAAACAACAAAAGCAATAATCACTACGATGGGTTAGTGAAGTCTATCATAATACATGTTCCAGTCTATTCTATGATCTACTGTTTGCATCAGATATTATTCGGACTAGTTGAGGTTGTTAATAAACGGTGTTAGCACGAAGTACTTGCACGTATGGATGTTCAATTGGTGGCCTAAGTGATGTGAGCGATTTAACACAAAATTTTCCGATAATCTCACATGCCGATTCGGATTTACCTACAAGTGTACGCGAATTCAGCAGAGAAGTAAGAATTGATGCGGCGAACAAAGGATGGGAGTGACCATATTTCACGAACAGATTGTGACAAATTATTACACAGTCTGCAAAACGTACTGGTGATGTAATTCACAGGGAGAAAGGATCTATGTTGAGCTTGTTTCACGATTGACAAAGAGCTATGTAGGCCGTAACTAGGGGTTTCTGTAAATTGAATCTTTTCATTGGATATAAAAGACAGTTCGTTAGGCATTTTGAGGAGAAAGATTAGATTTCGAAGGCTAAAAACATCATCATTTCAACAATTTGCAAGTGTCTGCAGAAATTAACTCGAACAACGTTTATGAAAATCACTTGCTTGTGAGGGTTTGGTTAATGGTGTGTGACACAGTAGTCACTCGAGAAAGTGATGTGAACAGCTACAGCCTACAAATTCAGTATATAAAAATTTAAGGTGCAGTCGTAGGGCAAGATTATTCCTTTCAATCTGTCTAGTGTAAGGACTGCACACATGAAGCTTGTGATGAGCATTTTGTACGTCAGATGGCGGTATTATTCAGGATTCTGATC